TGAAGGCTTCGAATACAACTTCCGGAATAAACTTCCGGTCCTGACAGTGCAGGAGATCCCATTTTCCATATCTGCAATGAAGGGTCCTGATGTTGCAGGTCTGAACCCAGAATCTCTTGAAAATATTATTCATTATAGGGAAAAGACTAATGAAATGGCAACATCATGACAAAAGTAGTGTAACTCAGTTCAGCACATGCTTCTTTATGCTACATTTAGAGCCACTTAAGATTTTTTTTAAATACTTCCCAACATATATCTGTTTAAAATATTTTTAATGAAGTTGAAGAAAATTAAAGAATGCAGAAATTAGACATTTCTACACCTTTAGATTTTCAATATTATCAGCAGTGCTAAGAATAAAGTTGGATAAGCAAAGTTTGGAGGATTATCTCCAGCCTGTCAGCTGATAGAACAACAGTTAGCAACTGGATCTTCTAGTGGATCAATTGAAATGCTTCAAATATTAACTTTCCTTCTCTCAAAGGCAATTTTTACAAATATCCACCAGAGTGAAAAGCAAAACTAGGGGGAAACAAACTGATGTATAAAGGCAGTAAGCTATGGGAAAATTTGAGCCAAATGCTATTAAACTCGAGGTGACACTGGAGAGAGATGTGATAATTAATGATGGAGGTGATGATGAAGATGATGCTGATGGTTTTTGGGTCAAAATGCTCTCAGCTGACACATCAGACGTTTTCATTTTAAATTAAGTGGAAAAAACCGAAATGAAAAAAAAAAAATTAAGAAACTGCTCCAGAGTGATTTGAAAATAAGAGTCATCCAATTACAACACTAATGTCATGAATGCTTCTCCCTGAGTGCTGCACAGTGTCATTACCCTAACAGCTATTAAGGCAGCCGCGGAGCTTTTTGATGTGGCTGGAGCTACGGCTGGATGCTGCCCACGTCCCCTTGCACTGACCCCGCAGCTAATGGTCCAGAACCGCTCCACCTGCTCTATAATATCACTGGCTGAAGGCGCATCCAGCCGTTTGACCAAACTAATAGAGGGACACCACATGATTTAACCGGGGGCCCACGTCTGGCTGTGTTAGTGAAAGGGGGATAGAAAATGTATATTTTCATTCTTGTAAAGAGGATTCATTACCATCATTGGTGGAAATATGTGGACTAGTGTGGCTTTGTTAGTAGCGCTTACTTTAAAATCTATGACAACAACATGTTAAAGAGCAAGGTTATTAAAATGCATATACGTACTGTATATACAGACGCTCAGCTAATCTAATAATTGTGACATTAGTATCTCGTAATTATGAGATATTAACTCGTAATTATGAGATA